CATATACACATCTACATACATATACACACACACACACATATATATATATATATATATATACACATGCAAATACATACACACCCTTACACATGTTTATATACATACACACACATACACACACATACATGTATATACATATGTACACATACACACTTATACATATACACATACATACATATACACATACATACATATACACATACATACATATACACATAAATACACATAAATACACACATAGATACATATATGTACATATATATAAAAAGTTAAAATCTAAATAAGTGACGATTCAAATATTTGCGCGTGTAAAAAAAAAAATTCATATATATATATGCATATACATACACATACATATACATATACATACATGCATACACATACACAAATATATATACATATATAAATACATACCGCATCACATAAACGTGCACAATGATACATTTAGAGATAAACATAATAGTCATACAATAAAAATGTCATTCCCGATGTTATAGGACCGAGATGGAGCTGACATAAGTGACAACATGTTACAAAACGGTGTTCATGTTTTGAAACGTTTCTTATGTCTACATTTAGAGAATATCTCATTCCGAAGATTCAGCAGCTCATCTTGGTTCTTATCTTTGATAATGAAGATTTTTTCCGCCATGCATAGATCACACCGATCGCGGAAGTTATTAGGTGTTCTGGCTCTAGATAGGAATCTCCATTTCAAAATTGGGTTTAATCCCTTATCCACCAGTTCCCAGTAGTGTTTGGATAAGGAAGTCTGTCTACTGAGGCATCTATATCTAAATGAGCGTCTATGGTTGTATAGACGCTGCTTCCAATCACCGGCGGATATACCTATGTATCTTTTTTTCTCGTTTATATTTGTATTTTTTTTAATATATTTTTTCTCGTTTATATTTGTATTTTTTTTTATATATATTTTGCAAATGTATGTATATTTTCCACTAATATTTTCTATCTATCTATCTATCTATCTATCTATCTATCTATCTATATATATATATATATATATATATATATATATAAAAGAAAGAACAGTAAGATTTATAATCCGGTGTTCTTATAGATATTTTTATTTTTATAAAATAGTGCTCAATGTAAATTTACAGAGCATTATTATTATAAATAAATTGATTTAAAATATGGTTTATCCGCTACACAGTTCTAACCATGTTTCAAAAATGGAAGGTCCGAATTTGATTTTGCAATTAAATTAAAGAATATTAGTTCCATTTCATCTTCAAGCGAATTTTGGAGTTAACCATTATAAACAAGCAATTTACCATCTCTGGTTATCTCCCTTGCATTGGGAACGCTTGTTTATAATGGTTAATTTTTAAATAATTTTAGAAGAGCGCGTTCGTGTGTGTTTGCAAAAATCACCATCAAAACAATTACAGTTACATTACGTTTATTCTCGCAATTCACCTCAGATAATGATCTCGGAGGAGATCGTATGTACTTGGGCTAAAAATAAAAAAATAAAATAAAATAAATAATGGCGCCTTCCTTCATGAATTTCAACTTAACATCAAGAACATAATTAGAGAACGAGAACGGGTTATAAAAATAAATAGACATAATATGTGTATGTTAATTAATGAGACATGCTTGAATATATATATATATATATATATATATATATATATATATATATATATATATATATATGTGTGCGTACGTGTGTGTGTCTAGCATATATAATAGTAACCGTAACAAAATTAATAAGGAGAAAAAATGTAAGATTTTATTAACGATGGGTTTCGCCGAAGAACGTGTGTTCTCTTTGGTTTCCCAAGGTTAAATGAACGAAAGACAAACCACTTATCCTCGGAGATCTTAATATATATATATATCAGACTCATATTAGTCGGACTTGACTGGGAGCGCCTATTACCACTAGTCTCGCTATGGCTTTCAATCTCCACATTCTCACAATTCCAATTTTTAGATATTTAGATAGATCCACTGTAGTTTTCAGGTTCGACATTTTCCAGAGATAGTAGCGTAATCGTTTTCTGCGAGAGGTGATAGCTCAGGTTATTCGTATTTATCAACGGCGGACTGGGTCTAAAATTATCGATTGCCAGGAGACAAGCGGGGGTACCCACAACTACAATGCTATCATTTAATTTCCATAATGAATACCTTCTTTTAATCAAATTTAACCTAAGCAAGGCAGAAAGCCACTACAGCACAAGGGAGAACGAGGTGTGAAAGAATTACAAAACAAAAACATTATTAAGGAGCGGGAACAATAGAAGAGTAATCAATAAGACAGTAGGTAACGATTATCATTGCATTTAGATTTTTGAAGACCGAAATTGGCTGGAAAGCATGGAACCAGAAGGGAGTTCCATAAGCGAGAATTGCGTGAAAAGGAACTGTTAATTTACGGTTACATCTAAATAATTCAACTGTAAATTGGCGAGACCTTGTTACTAATCTAGTACTCATAAAGTCTACGTACCATAGTGAAGAATACATCCGAACAATTTTCATGAAATTATTTATAGAAACGGCACAGGAAACCAACTTTACGTCGGATACAAATTGACTGAAGCCGAGACGCCAGATCATGGCCAATAATATTTTTGATTTTTCTTTGAATTTTATCAAGGACCTCTAGATATATAGCAGAGGCACCGGACCATATGTGTCAGAAATAGTCTAGTCATGGAAAAGTAGTAGACTTATAGATAAGATAGATTCTAGAGAGGAAAATTATTTAGTACGACACAGTGAACCAACTTTCATAAAAGCTGACCTAGCAATAGATTCAGTATAGTCTTTCCACTTCATGTCAGCCGAGAAGGTGAAACGAATCACTCAGCCATGTTGACGGGAGACAGAAAGAAATCTTTCAGATGATGATTAGTAGAGAGGAGTTTAAAAAAAAATCTGAATAATAATAATAATAGTGGAGATGGTGTTAGTGATGCTTCTGCTTTCTAATTTTTTCATACCCAGTAACCCATTGTATCTTAGTGGCTTTGCTGCCTTTCTTTGTTTGGTTTGATTTGGTTTGCTTTGTTTTACGGCATATCAACCTCAATGGGTTATTTAATGCCTATAAGATTTTTATTTTCCAAAAATGTATTGCTGTTAATATTTTTTTCTTCAAAAATGTTACTGGTAATTTTTTTTTCCAAAATCTATTGCTGGTAATATTTTTTACAAAAATGTATTAGTGATAATCCTTTTTTTCAAAAATGTATTGGTGATAATCCTTTTTTTCCGAAATCTATTGCTGGTAATATTTTTTTCAAAAATGTATTGCTGGTAACAATCTTTTACAAAAATGTATTGCTGGCATTAAAACCTATTTTTACACTTTCATAGTGTTTAGACTCCAGTTTGGGGATTAACTATTTACCTGTAGCTGGGACCCTAACAGGTGCTAGCACCCCGGGTCAGGGTGGACCTGGGAACACCAGCAATTAAGAGGTGGTTCCACGCTTCTCAAAACCTCTTGATAAGAGGCCTTGCTGCCGGGTGTAGTTTATCGTCTTACCCAGGACGAGGATGTAGTTTATCGTCATACCCAGGACGGGCCTTTCTTGGGGTGAACTCTATTAAAAAGAATATCATTTGTTGTTTATTCATGGAACGGTGTGTATTCGTTGGATTTGGAGCTGCCATGAAGGTGTGATGGATACATTTGGTGGATTGAAACTGTTGCATAGCCCCCTTTCTGGGGGAGGGGTATCTTGATTGATGGAGGTCGATTCCATAACGTTGTGTCTTCTCTCGCTCGTCTTCTCCCGATTGGATGTCGAAATATTTTTGGAGTCCAGAGATGAAAGAGGACTTCAACAAAAGAAATTTTAAACTTATCTATTTTATTAAACACATCGACATGTACATGTTTAACTAGCCAGTGGGGTCGCTCTCTATCACCCCCGCTGGAGAACAGGTTCCCCGAGACAAGAAATAACCTCGTCTACTGTGTATGACGTGTAAAAATTAAGTTTCCGAAATCCTTTTCTATCTCTCTAACATTACCACGCTAGTTTTAACCAATCAAAAACGACTTCCTCTGTTTTGTCTGCTATCTGACCTTAAAGATCAGCCTCAGAAGCCAAAATACACTGTCACTAAAAAATAATAGTCTGAAACTATTATTTAACAAGTCCGCTTCAATATGCGAGTAGTACCAATTATTTCCTATCGATTACGCAAAAGCATTTGACAAGGTACAGCACAAGGATTTATTTGAACTACTAGGAAAACTCGATCTGTTTCGAAAAGATGTTAGAATGACCCAGAACTTATACTGGAGACAAACCACCTGTATACGGGTAGAAAATGAATTGAGTAGCAATGCAAAAATAGAAAAGAGCGTGAGACAAAGATGCATCATCTCCCCAGATTTATTCGGCGACGCTATGTTAAGGGAACTGGAGACCTGTTATGGTAGTTTACCCACGCACACATGGACTCTCCCTGCTATAAATGGGAGCAGGTACTGCCTTTTGGAGTGTGAAGTTTCCAGCAGTCAGCTCTGACAGTCGAACCGAACATTCTTGCTGTAACACTCTCACTTGTATATGTTTGTATTATTGTTTCTGTTAATATATTTATTTAGCTCAATTCCTCTCTTGTGTTTTTAATTCTGACACTAACAAGGCCACAATAAGACCCTACCAGAATTTATTACCGGTGGGCGTAATCATAATAATATTTGAATCGCAAATGACACTGAGTTGATGGTCGACTCGGAAAGGAAACTACAGGACCTCCGAGACAAGGTAGATGATTTTTTTGTGGGATCGGAAGTCGGTGGGAATATGTCGGAGGTCGGGTGGGAACATGTCGATTTCTTAGCCTTCATTGTTCTTCTTGACTAATATCAAGAGTGATGGTCTTAAACTTAATTTCTGTGTCATTGTTGTTGTTGTTGTTTCTGTTGTTGATAGTGGTGGTCGTGGTATTTGAAAATAGTTACTATGAATCATTTTGTTCGAGAGTCTTCGAAATCCGCCTTAAGAGCTGACAAAGAGAGGGGGAGAGTGAGAGATAGTGAGAGGGAGATATAGGGAGAGTGAGAGATAGGGAGAGATTGAGAGAGAGGGAGAGATTGAGAGAGAGGGAGAGGGAGAAATAGAGAGAGGGAGATATAGGGAGAGTGAGAGAGAGGGAGAGACAGAGAGAGATAGGGAGTGAGAAAGAGGGAGAGGGAGCGAGAGGGAAAGTGAGAGAGATATGGAGAGAGAGAGGGAGAGTGAGAGATAGGGAGAGAGAGTGAGAGAGATAGGGAGTGAGAAAGAGGGAGTGAGAGGGAAAGTGAAAGAGATAGGGAGAGAGAGAGAGGGAGAGTGAGAGATAGGGAGAGAGAGAGGGAGATTGAGAGATAGGGAGAGTGAGAGAGAGGGAGATTGAGAGGGAGAGATAGGAAGAGTGAGAGACAGTGAGAGATAGGGGGAGGGAGAGATAGGGAAAGAGAGAGAGGGAGAGGGAGAAAGAGTGAGAGGGAGAGAAAGAGAGAGTGAGAGAGAAGGAGATGGAGAGTGAGAGATAGGGAGTGAGGAAGAGAGAGAGAGGGAGAATGACAGGGATGAAGAGGGAGAGTGAGAGAGAGAGGGAGAGTGTGAGTGAGAGATAGGGAGTGAGAAAGAGGGAAAGGGAGAGAGAGATAGGGAGAGGGAGAGTGTGAGTGAGTGAGAGTGAGAGAGAGGGGACAGAGAACGGGAAAAATAAAAGAACGAGTTAGGATTTGTCACTCGATAAAGAAAAAGAAAATCCTGTTTGCAGTGAAGTGGCACAGGTTTCGTTAAAGTCAGTGGTTTCGGTCTTATTCGGCCATGTTCCCGTTGTGAACAACCACGACCTACTTCCAGACAATCTACGGCGCTGACTGACAAGGAAAGAATTTTGTTCTCTCAGTCTCCAGAGACAACCACAGCTGGTGTAATCTAATCACAGCGAGATATCATGTGGGGGCCAGAGGTCAGGGGTTACTGACAGCCCAATTTTTCAAAAAATACTCGAGGTCGCTGAAGTAGGCAACACCATTAGCCTCAGTGGCCTAATTAGCAACCGTTTCTTTCTATTTCTTTCGGCGTTCCTTCTTTCTTTGATGAAGATTTGTGTCCGAAAGAAAGTAAAAACTAAGGAAGGGGATTACGGTAGGCTTTACACAACCGGAGGTCGCAAGGGTTAGCAGCAGGCGTAAGTGGATAGTGGCTATCGACTCGTTGTAAGCGTAACGAGCAGACGTATTATGACTGACAATTGTACAAGATGTAGAGTTTGGGGGTGGAGAGTATTAGAAGCTGAAGAGCTAAAGGAACAATAAAATTTAGGATGTCTTCAACGACTTTCCTTGTGTTCTCGCCACTTCTTCCCCGTTACAAATTTGGTAATCTCGTTGAATACAGCGTAGTGAGGCTGTTGTGTGACTTAATGAGGCCCAAGGCCGAGAGCTCTTTTGTATTGTGCTTCGCGAAGCGGTCGCTATTGTGATACACATGACGGCGCGATGCTTTTGTTAACTTGTAGTTATTGTGATGGCTGATGTTTTGCCGTGAAGTGACTGCCGAGTCAGGAGGAAGAGGCGAACTTTGTCAGGCTTTCTGGGGTCTCTCCCCGCCCATAACTTTCGACATGAGAGAAGCACCAAGTTTTACATTGTCGCTATTTCACAAAAATCTGAATTCTCACAATGGGCGCTAAACACAATGGACGGTTGAAACCAGGCATGGGCAAATTTTTTTTTGTGGGGGTGGCGATGGACTGCATTGAGATATAGTTCATCATAATCACTTTTTTTTATTAATGCTACAGCAGTTATTTTTTTTTAAATAATTCCCCCCCCCTGTACAAGCTATTCGAGGTACACCGTTACAGAGTAAAAGACACTGTTTACGAGGATATGTAGGAAATATAACAATTAACCCTAGACACGAACGGGTTAAAATTATAGTGATCGGGGAAGCATCCTCTTGGGAGTCTTTTTAACAAAGCAGCAGTTCGTGCGAAGAAGCTGCTCGTGAGGTACTTACATCTCACCGAGGGGAATATGGTGGGGTCTCTACAATGTTCCATCAGTTTTAACTGTATGTACAGGGTGATCCGTGAGCCTTGTCACCCCCTACATAATATAATTTTCTATTTCAAATAGCTGACACGAGCTCCTACAGACCTTCCCGGTGTGTGACAGCGCCAGTGAAATTGAATAAACTGAATCTAGTACATGTGCTTTGTATTACTGTAGGCACCTCCCCTTTTTCGCTAAGATTTTCGATCCCTAAGGTTTTAAAATGCATTTTAAAAAATGAAAACGCATTCTTGAAGCTTTCTTTTTAGATTTAATCGAAAGATAAATGATTAAATTTACTATTTCCAGTAAGCAACATACTCTGGTGTATTTCAAATAGAAATTATATCGATTAGAATCTCAACTTTTTGCTCGCTGTCAGAAATCAACCATTTGTGAGAGATTTGTAAACAAAAATCAATTTTAATTTAATTCTCAGTTTTAAAAATCTTCCAAAAATAAAATATATTTTTCTGAAACTTTATTTGAAAAATATTAACTGGTTTACAGTTTAATTAATTTGATTTAAAAAAAAACAACTTACTTACTTTAAGTATAAAATAACAGAGAAATGGATTTTTAAGACAAACAGTAGCGCGATTAAGTGCTTGTCGACACCTCTAAATCACTTGAAGAAGTACTGACACGTTTATTATTGTTCTAAGGTGACCTTATTTGTCAAAACATAATTTAAAGTGACAGGTGAAAGCTTTTCTATATAATTGTTAAGTTCTCAGTAATCTTAATAATGCTGGAAAATGTTCTCCGTAATCTAATTTTAGGAACGCTGAATTTAAATTTCTTGTAGTCGTCGCCCTTATTTTCTGATTATGTCCTGTATGTTCAACCGTATTTTGAGACAGAGACACGTTACGCATAAGGATTTTTAATTTTTTTAAATTAAAAATTCGTTTAAAAACATTGAGTTAAATCGACTTTTAATGAGCTTTTCTATTTTCGATTCGTAAATGTAGTTTTCACTTAATAGCAATATTACCTAACCGCCTTGAAGTAATGCAGAATTTTAAACGATTTAAATTATTTAAATAAAATTTTAAAAAAAAATGAAACAGTTCTTGTAAAAATTAATTATTCATCGAAAAAAAAATTCTTCTTAATAGTGTCCTTAATAAATCTTATTTATAAAAGCAATGAAAAGCTTTTCTAATTAAATAATATCTTAGTTTTTATTGCATTTATTATTTTACAATTCAGAGCAGATTTTCGATGAATGGGTTTTACAAAAAAAAAAAAAAAAAAAAAAAAAAAAAAAAATTGATGATTTACATTCTCGAAGGAGTCCTGCTTTTAACTAATAAAAAAATCCCAGTCCTAAAAATTGAATTTCTCGAAATTTCGTCAAATTAAGTAAGAGGGTAGAAACATGTAAAAAAAAATATATATATAGTTTTTACCAAGATTTTCTAAATAAATAATTTCAGAAATAATTTAATTCATTTCTGAATATGTCCTGAATGTGTGTGTGTGTGTGGGGGGGGGGTAATTGATTAAATTATATTAATCAAAAATTGTCAAGTAAATTAGGCTGCGTGATGAAATTAACAATTTCCTCTCACATTAAATTTTAGCATTCAACAAACAGAATAAAGACAACATGAGAAACAACAATTTTTTGCACAACAATGGATAAAATATTTATATAAACAAGAGATACAAACAACTGGAGTAAAAAGGTAGTTTTAAAAAATTCAGACGTCCTTTTATGTTTAGATGAAAAGTTATCTGGTTTGATTGATTATAATTTGTTGAATGGTCTGTACAATAATGAGAAAGTGTGGTTTGGTATTATAGTAATTAAAGAAAAAAATAAACAGTTCAAGTTTGTATTTGAAATAGAGAAATATTGTTTAAGACTTGCTTTAAAGTTTACGGAATTGTCGCTCTTTGATTTGTTTTCACTTGTTCAAAGAAAATATTCTGCAGTTGAAATAAGTGATTCTTAACAAGCTGTGTTTATGCTAATTGCAATAATTAACGTTGAGCTTGAAAGCATATGAAAAAGATTCATGTATTAAGTTGAATGTGGAAAACTTCAGTTGATTGTGCGTCATAAAATATTGCTGTGTGAATGAGTGTTCTCTCAGGATGGAATCATGTTAAGGAACTTTAGCGTAAAGCCTGGAACTGTGTGACGCGTTTAAAGGATTCCGATCGGCGCGCTGTCGAAGATGAAAGACGTTTCATATTTTATTGCTCACTTTGGTCACGTGATAGGCTCACAGAAACTTGATAGATTTGGTGGAATTATCTCTCTGGTCAGGTCAAGAACTATATCGATGTTATTAGATATTAAGTGACCAATTAAAAGTTGAGATTTTCTAAAAATATTTACTAAGCTGAATAAGCTCTGTGATCCACTTTTTGTACAAAAATTGATATTGATAAAAAAAAAAGGTGGTAGCGGGATGCTAAAAAAAGTTTCATTAAAATTCAACAATTATTTGATTTTTGCAAGAATTTCCAAATCAATGTGTTTTTCACCGGAAAATAAGCGCAATAAAATAATCGCCATTATTACGTCGATCGCTGACGTAAACAAAACAAAATTTCTAACCAAAATATCGAACGTACGAGAAAGGATTAAAAAATTTCCAAAAAAAACAAAACAAAAAATACTTTGATCTTTCCTCTTAATAATAACATAAACATTTTGACGATAAAACTTTGTTTTTATTGAGTTCGGGACCTTTATTTATCATGCTATGTTGTTTATCCCCCAAAAATTGTGGAGGTACCTATTAAGTGATTTTCTAAGCCCGGCTTAGACGTGGCACAAGACTGAAAGTATGGGGTACACACTGAGGATCGAACTCACTACTCAGTCGTAATTCATCTAGCAAGACAAGCATTCTAACCATTACACCACGTCAAGGTGCCCATGTGTGGAGGTACCTATATTACTGTATTACTTGTTCTATTGTTCTCATTATTTTTTTAGTAACGGTGACAGGACTTTCGGACCACTCTGAATCCTTTCCATTGCGGGAACAGGGTTGTAGAGTGGAAGATATTTCATCGCCCACAAGTACGCAGAGAAGCTTTGGACTCGATCAAGTCTGGAAAGTGAAGACTGGGCAGCCATTGCCCATATACGGCAACAGTGCTTCATTTTCATTCTACTCTGGCTCTTCTAAAGGCAGATGATAGCAGGAGGAGTCAGGTACTTACTGGAGTGGCACACGAGGGGGAAAAGACTCGATGGAAAAGACAGCATTTCTTTTCTACCTTGAAAGGGCATGGATCACGTTGCAAATTTCGGCTGAACTGTCCAGACGTGGCGTTTTCAGACTTTCATCTGTTCGATGGAAAATGAACTTCGCGGATAACATTTCCTGTTTTTGCTTGTGTTAATTTAAATCTCTGGACGACACGAAGATTTATTTGAACTGATAGGAAAACTTTACTTATTTGCTAAAGTTGTTAGAATAATACAAAATATATACTGCGAACAAATAGCCTGCATATTGACAGAAAAGGAACTGAGTAAGTAAACAATAATAGAAAGGAATGCCAGGCAACAATACGTCTATTTAACTTACACAGCGTGGCAATCCTAAGAGAACTAGAAGTCCTATCAGGATTTATTATTAGTGGGCACAATCTTAATGGCATAAATTACAGAGGAACCCCGGTTCTCGAACGTCTCACATGTCGAACAAATTGGTTTTCGAACAGAAAATTCGAGATTAAAATGCCTCGGTTATCGAATAAAATTTCGGTTCTCGAATAACATAGCCGAACCGGAATAATGTCTGAGTCGACAGCCGTGTTATATACATTTGTGTGTTGTGCT